ATATTTTTCAATATAAATTATTTTTTATTATTTAAATATTAAAATTATTAAAATATTATTAATAAATAAATATTAAAAGTAATTTTATGAAAAATGTTTTAATAATCTCAATATCTGAATTGTAAAAAAAAATACAATTTATTTTCAAATAAACACTTTTATATAAATCATTTCAGAAAAATTTTCATTTTTTAAAAAGAATTTCTTAGTATGATAAGCTGCATAAAAAATAGTTTTCCTAAAATTTATTTTTATTTATGTAATTCGTGCACTAGGACTATCAGTATTAGCCCAATTGACTTAAATGGTTTATGTTCTATTCCTTCTCTTATACATTTGAGACATGTTAAAAAAAAATCATAATTCATTAATTCTACAAAAACATTCACTTAAATAACATTAGTAACAAACTCAATGTTAATTAAGTTTTGGTTTGAGATTGTTGTGTTATGTTGGCGTCATGTACGTTACCGAGCTGTGGCTAAAATTAAAGTTGTATTAAGATAAATATTAATATTTGTGTAATAATTAATTTTCAAAAAAATTAGCATAACTTTGTAATTACAAAATTGGGAATTGTTTATCAACTTGAAATGGTGAAAATGTGTTAATTTTAACAATCATAATCTCGTGATAAATGATACCCTGTGGAGGGATTAGTTCTTAAGACCATGGTTGTTACTTGTTGCATTAACAGAACATCAAGACACCTAAATAAAATGAGTAAAAATTTATTTACACACCTAAATAAAATGAATAAAACTTTATTTATACAAAATCTCAATTATTTATCTCTTCAGTTTCAACAATTGAGATTTATTCATATTTATTAAGGATAATTATCTTTTTTATCTAAAAAATCATATTAAATTTAAAGTTAAAAGATAAATAATTAAAATTTTATATAAATATGATGTATAAAACTTGTATATAAATAAATCACTCCTCTAAAAAAAATGTGGGACTATTGAAAAACCTATTAACTTGTATATAATTATAATGCCATGTGATATTATAAACTTATAATGTGATGTATTGTTATATAATTAACTTTTTTTTTATTTAAATGTTCACCTATAATATGTCATGTATCCACTCATTTAATATCACATCATATTTAATTTAATACTATATAAAATTATAAGTTTATAATTTTATATAACATTTTAATAAAACATTGTGAATTTGCACATAGGT